CAAGCAGCTGTTGGTGTTGTGACATCATCTAAATGACGACTCCATGTGTAAGGTGCAACCAGATACAGAAAAAGAGAGATATCGCTTATCCCAAAGATGTCATGGTTTTAAATAAATTGAACTTGTTTAAATTTTTATTCCAAGCCAGAAAAAAAAATTCTTCAACCCTTGATAGAAAGTCTCAATTGACCAATATTGCTACAGTAGTATAAGTGGGGTCAAAAAACCACTATGTCCTACTTCTATCACATGCGGTACTCAGAACTTGACAAGTACCTTTGTGAACAACTAGCAAATGCTGTTTAAAAACACAGTGCCTTCTGTATTTGTACCATATCTGTTTCAATAGGGCTTCTATCACTATATCACAGGAAGATAAAAAGCTCAACTGAAGTTTTGGTTACCATGCGTGATGACTGCAAATACTTTCATATCTACTTATTTAGTCAATGATCCAAACACTGCAGTTTGCCACTACAAGCAAAGAAATGAATTATTTATATTTATTTTTGTAACAAATATTATGAAGACTACTGGTATTAGAACATACTTCATAGTGTTGTTTTTCACAATGGCCTCTCTGGCCATATTTAACTCACTCAGATTCAACTTTCAGCATCTTCATTCTAACAGAGCATTTGCAGTACTTTTTGATAAGGCAACATTCTGAAAGTAGCTAAGCGACTAAGGAACTAACGGAAGTTCAGTAATGCTTCAACTCCCTTGCCTTCCCAAATGACTAAGATGCTTCCAAAAGTCTTATTTAATATTTTCCTTGCCTGCTTCCTTGTGATTGAAATGCAGAACAGAAAATAAATATAAAAAAACAAACAAACAACACTACCACCTGCACCAGAAGTCCTCTGAGGCTGTTATCAGAACAGGGAGCTTAGTTACAAAGCCTTAAATAACTGTAAGAGACCTTATCAGGTTCCTTGAATTTGGGGTTAGTCTGTGTACTGTGTCTGGCTGGCAAGGAGATAATTTTTCTTTACAGCAGCACACACAGTGCTGTGTTTTAGATTTGTGAACAAGCCAGTGTTAGTAACACACCAATGTCTTAGCTGTTACTGAGTAGTGCTCACACAGTGTCAAGGTCTTTTCTATTCCTCATTGTGTCCCTCAGCACTTAAGCTGGGGTGGGCAAGACACTGGGAGGGGACACAGCCAGGACAGCTGACCCAAACTGAACAAAGAGACATTCCATGCTATATAACATCATGCTCAGCATAAAAGGTGGGAGGTGGAGGGTGGGAGGAATTTTTCCAAGGTAGCCATTGCCCAGGGACTGGCTGGGCTTTGGTGTGCTGGTGGAAGGTGGTGACCAACTGTCTTTGCATCACTTGCTTTTGGTTGTCTGTTCCCCCCCCCCGGAAGGAGGATTGAGCGAGCGACTGGGCGGGGGCTAACCAGACACCCAGCGTCAATTCACCAGAGTCTGAAACACAGCTTAGTCAGCCAACAGACTATGCATGATATGCTACTGTACATACCCCAGCCAAGCACTCCCAAGCCGTCTATCATGGTGGTGTGCGAGTCAGTGCCCACCACACTGTCTGGATAGTAGTAGCCATCCTGATCCATCACCACTCTTGCCAAGTACTCCAAGTTCACTTGGTGGATGATCCCAGAGCCTGGCGGAATAATCCTCATGTTTTTAAAAGCCTGAGAGCCCCACTGAAATAGAAGGAATTGGAGGAAGAAGTTTTCAATGCACACGAGCACTGGAAAAACTTTTGCTCATTGCTCTTTTCTCCATGCAAATCGGATTAATTCTTTCAGTACCTTTAAGAATTCAAACCTTTCTTTGTTCCTTTCAAATTCCAGGTCCTGATTTTTTTGCAAGCTGTCTGATCTGCAAGTGAAAATAATCAGCTGTTAGAACCAAAACTATCCACCTGAAATTTATGTCTGGTCAGATATACCCAAAAGTTGAAATAAAAGAAGAGTTATTAGCTAACGTTAATGCTGATCAATCTCATCTTTATAATCTCACTGCAGCTCTGAACTGCAGGCAACCAATGAACCGTATTGAAGAAATCTTAAGAGGCAATACCTGAAATCTCGTTCAAATGTGAGTGCTAATCTGCATATTATATATGTGGCAGGTCTAAAACTTGTAACTTGGGAAAAGCTATACTACATGTTAGAGCTTCACTATATGTGAAGTTTCCAACAACTAAATCAGAAGACAACTGCCCTGTAACTTCAGTTAAAAAGAGGTTATCACTGATTATACGGTGCTGCCTGAAGTCCCTGTGTTTCAAAGCAGACAGGGCTAATAAACTTTTCACTTCAATCAGCTGCCTAACTTAGGCCTGAAGAGTTTGGCCTATGTTCTTTCCATATATACATTAGCCTAATAGAAATAAAATAAGGCTGTGACAAAAAGGAATTATTAGCAAAAAATTATCTAAATGAAGTCCCAGATACTACTGATAACATAAAATGAATGTTATTAAAATAATACAGAAAAAAAAAGTAATAGTTGATTTTGTCCTATGGTAAAGATGAAATCATATCTTATTCACAAAGAAACACACCATTTCCCAAAGGTTATGTTTCTAGTTTAATAGATTAGTGCTAGAACACCCGCTACCCCAGAGATCAGACTCTAGATGATTACTTATAACTTTGCATCCATTTCTAAACTCTTTAGTGTTATGTCAAGATTAAGAATACATACAGCATCTCTACGAAAAAATCTTAAAGGGAGTTAATTTTTGACAGTTAACATAAATAAAATTTTTTTTGGCTTTTCTTCTCTCCTGCCAACTATGAAATGGCATCAGTGAGAATTTGTATCCTTACTAGTTACAGTTTAAAAAAAAGTAGGAAAAAAGTTCTATTTGAAAACTTTCTGGCAATGTTCTTCTACGAAGCAGGTTTTGCAACACCTTTCTGCTCAGAAGTTCAGTATTTTTATTCTAAAGAAGCCTCTATATATTGGCACTAAGAAAGTGCTCTTTACATTCTTTAATTTCCACCTTCTATGATTTTCCTTCTTTGCAATGCTGTAACTCAAGTGGCCTACCTCAGAAATGTCTCCTATAGAAGACAAACAAACAGATTATTTTAGCAGGCAAGGTAACTGCAGACCAAAAAACTTCAGGAGTTTGGAAGACAGAAGGAAATCGCCAAGAAATGTCTAACTGCAGGATCTGTTTGGATAAGTAGTTCAGTAGGCCTGTGTTTAGATACCATGGAGGGTAGAAAGACCCCTGTGCAGTGGTCTTGTATTTCATTGTGCATCTAGTGAGTAGCTGTCTCTTTGTAGCATGCTGAGGATGGAATAACATTATGTTTCTTTCCTGTATGTATAGGGACCATATTAATCAGTGTCTTGTGCTCTTCTGCATGGAGGCACTGAACTTGCGAACAGTCCCTCAGAGCTGGGCTAGGGCAGCTCAGGTCTAATCTTATATAAATAAGGAGACATTCTCGTTTGTCCTTTCCAAAAAGCCCTACGGGGTCAAGCAAGTACATGTGGAAAAAAGCTATTTCTGAGCAACTAATAATAATGCAGTATTATTATGGAAAATTATGATCACCACAGGTCTGGACTGAGTCTGTTTCTATTAACATTGAGTCCAGGCTTGTGCTGCTGAGAGACGCACCACAGAAAGAACGTAATTCCCCCATCTAGTTCACAGCAACTGATAAAACAGTCTAACCTAAACACGTCTTACAGTCTAGGATGTTGCAGTTCAAATGCTAAGAATATCACCAGTGGAATTACCTGTATTATCAGTAAATGGATCCAGCTTACTTACTACCATTAGGAAGTAAGAGTTACTTTGAATCCTTACCGCCTGTTAAAATCAACCTGGATGGAATGATCTATCACTAGATCAGCAGGACAAATAGGATTGATTTTTTCAGGGTCCCCACCAAGTTTCTTCACAGCATCACGCATCGCAGCAAAGTCAACCACAGCAGGTACCCCGCTAAAAGAGAAGAGAAAAGTGAAACAATTTTGAAAAGACAAAACCAAAGCAAACACAACCAAGACCCTGAGATACAGAACAGACACCTACTGCCCTATACAAAGCAAACTGCAGCCTCACCCTGAGTCTTGGAATCATTACTCTATGGCAGAGACAGGACCCCTGGGAAGACAAAGTCAGAAGAGCAGAAGGGACAGAATTGTATCTATATCCTGAGCACTGTAAGAATGAAAAGCTAAAACCAAAATTCATCAAGTAACAGAAGCAGTTCAACATGCTTGGCTGGGAATCTGGAAACTTAGCCCTAGTCAGCATTCCTTTGGGACCTTGAACTAACTGGTTTCTCTTCTTTTGCTCTGTTCTCTCTCTCCTCCCCAATCTGTTTAGAAAAGAAGGGAGGGAGGGAGAAAACAACAATGTGCCTTCTTTGATTCTTTGCAATGTTTATTTAGTTGATTTTAAGGCAAGGGTCATCTCTTCCAAGTTCTGCAAAGCACAGGAGAATCTTCTCCACCATTACAGCTATTTGGTACCTTCCACACTTCAAGTGAAACTGGCAGAGTAGGGCATCATATTTCTTAAATTACAAAGGACGTGACTGCAAAACACCCTTGCAGAATAACTGTATTTTCAGAAGTGGATTTAATTGCCCTGGCAGATCACCGGACAAACACGAAAGGCCGAAATAAGATGTACCATTCATCTTTACTACCAAATTCTTGTACTTACCACTGACAAAAGACCTTATATCACAAATGACATTCGAACAGCAGGTTTTCAGGCTATGGGCCAAGATTCATATTTCTGCCTTCTCATATTTCTTGTGACAATCCTGCAAGCCCTTAAACTCCAAGTGACTCAGAAAGGAGTTAAAAGACCTTTTTCTCTATGTTTGTATGTTTCATTCATCCAAAACGATTTTTAAATCCCTAAATTAAGCCTTCCTTCCTAAGCGAGGTAGATAAACTATGCAGAGGGTCAAAGTAATGCACGTGAGAGCCTTTTGTCCATCCACCACTTCCAATCCGAGTTTAGTCATAAGCAAACAAGGAGTAATAAGCAGAAGTTCTGGCACTTCGACCTAACAGATCGGGCCTTACCTAACAGATCACACACATTTCCATATTTATTTCAACAAAGCTTCTGGTGCTTCTCAGCACATACATTCTCAGCTTCTACAGAGGTATGTTCTACCATGACGTGTTTCAAACAGTTTGGGAAACCCTCTTGCATACTAGCCTGTCTGATTGTGCTGGCTGCTGAGACAAAGAGAGATGTCTGATGTGCTCCTAAGGATCTGGCATCATTCAGTAACCCACCAAGAACACTTGTTTCTGCAAAAGTAGCTCAGAGCAGTGAGAGTTTGTTTTCAACTACAATTATAAGGAAACTATTACGATTTTAAAATATATCAGAAACAATGTAAAAAGAGAAAAGGCCTTGTAATTCCCAGACAATTTTTACCTTGAAAATCCTGAGTGTTTACAAACACAATCAGAAAAAGGGGCCTAAAATATGTAACCTGGACACAATTAACTGATACTGTTCAGCAGTTTGAAACAGTTTGTTGTTCCGGGATATATATTATACATATATTCCAAGGAAAATAGCAAATGCTATTATGCTACCTAGGTGGATTTGGGAGAGAGCAGGGGTGGGAGGAAGTAAGTGGAAGAGTTATTTTGCCAGCTTACAAACATTAAACAATCGAAAAGGAACACACACAAGAGCCATCTACACTCTTAGAAGAACTCAGGATAATTACAGAATGATCAGATCTAGGAAACTGAATAATTCTAATCCAGGACATGTGAATGTAATTGTTGAATGGCTTCTGGAAAGTTGCCAAAGCTGCCTTTTCCAAAAGACCCCGCTCAAGAGTCTGCTCAATAGCTTTTTTTTCATGAATGCAGCTGCTCTGCAGACTTATAGGCAAATCTTTAAAACTCAGCAGGAGAGTAGGGGGCAAGAAAGAAGTGCAGTAACAAAGGGAGCAACTTTTGCTTAAAGGTTTGGCTTCCTCTGTGCTCCAGCTTTTTCAAATGTTAACAACAGCCAGTGGGTAAAAAATAGCTAGGAAATCACCACTTTTTTTAATTGAGGTTTTGCCAATTTTTCCTAATGTCTCCAGGAGTTGAGCTGTACTGGGTCTCTAGCACCTGGCCAACCTTTGGGAAAATGCAAAACAGGAGGTATGACAGCCAAGATACCTTACTGTTCTGAGAAATAAAATCAAATGACAGCTTGGCAGCATGGGGCTTACCGCAGATGAACTAAACTCTGTTACAAAGGCAGAGGACAAAGGTACAAAGGACAGTGGACTTGCAAGTCAAATGCTGTATTAAAAAGTCAGAAGCTACTGTTCCATTTGAAAATTGACTTTCCACATCTATCAGGGACTATTACATGCTGACATATAGGGACTAACCACACTGCAATAACAAGGCAGAGTTTTCAGAGTCTATTCAGTTGGAATCTTAATTTGCATTTCTGGAAAAAAACAGACATTCATCTTTTCAAGAGCAGAGAAGTCTTTAAAAATATACTTGGATTAATACTGGCTCGGAAGAGAAAATAATGAGGTGGATTATAAATGAGAATTGAAAAGGGTAGAAAATTGAAAAGATAAAAAAAAGAAGACATCTTTCTCCCCACCCAACAACAACAAAACCTTTAAACTCTGAATTCCCTCATTTGGATGCAATTTATCCATCCCATTTTCTTCCCCTCTGTTTTGAAGAGTTTCATAAAGATATTTATTTCTCCATCCCAGAAGCACTTCATGTAATGCTTTTTACCACAACTGTTTGCCTATCCAAGTGTTGTCTGTAGCATGACAACAAGGAAAGCTGAAAAAGGTCTTTCCAAACATTTCAATGCTATTCTTTCCCTCAGCTCACCCCTCCACCCCAAAGCTTTGGAGCGCATCAGACTCACGTGAAGTCTTGTAGAATAACTCTTGCAGGCTTAAATGGAACTTCAACATTCTTGTGTTGCACCACTTTCCAGTTGAGAATATTCTCAACATCTTCCTTCTTCACTAGGAACTCATCACAGTTACGGATCGCTGCTTCCAAGAGGACTCGAATAGAAAATGGTAGGCGTGCTGCATGGTAAGAGGCAAGAAACAAATTCAGTTTTTATTTTAGGGCATATGTCAGCAAGTGCAGGGTTGCACATTTGGGGCAGGCGGGTCCTCGAGCACTGTCCCCATATTCTCACAAGGCTTTACCCAAATTATCAGACACTCTTTTCTAGCCTCCAGCTTTGTCAGGAGATCAGTGCTAACTGACCTGTTCCACTCGCTTCTTTGAGCGGATTTATTATCTCAGTCCCTGTGAGACAGTAGACATCTTTGCTGAAAGGACTCTTTTCCACAGCTCTTCCATCCTGCACAGCAATATTACTCTGAAAACACGCTGTGCTCACCTTGTTCTTCTGCAGTTTCCTCTCAGTCTTGCCACTGAACAGTCACATAAATGCACTAGAAAACCATCATTTTCTACCTGACATGTTGGAAAGCATAGCTTTAGTGGTTTAGGTAGATTCTTCTCCAGAGATGGAGAATGAAACTGAACAGCAGTAAGACTGTGCATCTGCTAACCTTCTTTTACTTCAAGACAGAAATACTAACAGAAGATAACACAAAATACTATGAGAGCAGTACTGACACCTTTACTACAAGCAATGGGTGTGAAGAAAAAAAATAAAAGTTCCTGTGTCCTTTCTCCCGTGGTCCACTGTAATAATAGCTGTTTGATTTCCTTGCAGAATATTTACATTCAAAAAAATCTCTTGAGAAGTTTGTCCCAGCTTTCTATACAGAGCCCCCAAGACACAAAAGTTAACTTAATCACAGTGAGACATCATTACTAATACAAAAAGAAAAAAACCCAGCTATTATTCAGGACACAGTCATTCAGAATAATTTGGGAAATTTTGGTTGTATTTTGTTAGTTTTGGTGGTGGTGAGGGGGGGTTAATTTTTGCTTGGGTTTTTGGTTTTTTTTTTGGTTTTTGTTTTTTTTTTTTTTTTAAATCTTCTGCTCCCCCTCCCCCTATTCTTCTGTTGCTATGTTATTCCATTTTTCTGCTGGACAGTGAGAATTGCATCCTTTTTTCTTTAAAGAATCTGGAGTTTATCACTCTTGGAATCCTGGAATGGCTCAACCAGTAATACCTTAAATGTATTTGTATATTTCTGAAGACTCATCTCTACTTTTCACATACCAAGACCAACATTAATTGATTTCACTATCTGAGCCTGCAATGAATATGTGTTGCTAATGTTCAGAGAAAATGTGCCTCCTCTTGCTTCCTGAATTCTCCTTAACCACCTGCTTCCTTTTTGAAAGAGGAAAAATACCCAAAATAGACAGCTCTAAGCTATAGATACTTGCTTTGTAAGTCAGTGGCATGGATTGTAAGATTTTTACCAGTGCCACATGGAAGATGCCTAAGTACGTTCAGGAAGTGTCAGAGGAACTAAAGAAAAAGCCTCCTCAGAAAGCATTTTCTAGCCATTACTCTTTGTGGATGATTCAGTCATATCAGTGTGAGGTCCTTTCTGGCCTTCCACAGTAGCACACCAGTAGATGAGAAAACTTGCGCTCTTAGTTTGCCTAGCCCTCCTCAGCCACTCAAGAAAAACAAGATTGTTGTGTGCACAGCATGTTGAGAATAGAATGCTGTGATCTCGCCAGTATTTCTGTAGTTCTAAATTTCCAGAATTAAATTTTGCTAGAATTTTGTTTGCAAGAACCATCGTTTGAATTCACAGTTTTGTCCACAAAGCAAATACCATCCAATGTTGCAATGTCTCTTCAGGTTCTGTTTATCAATGATAATGAAATGCTTTCCTTATGTTGTCAACGTACCGTATCTCACATCTTCCAACTTGCTCAGATTAAAGAACTTCTTCAGAGGCTGTTTCGGGTCCAGGGGCTCCACAATCCGTACAAAAGGGTTGCTCATGGTTATTCAAGACCCTTAGTGTCCCTAAAACACAAAAGAAAAAAAATCAAAAGCCATTTTCACAACATCTGTCCGGCAGACAAAGAATATGTCCCACGATGTATCCGTCCCCAACGCTTGTACCAGACAAAAAGGTACTGTGTTAGTCATGCCCTTTCCCCTATAAATCTACTTGTAAGACATTCTCAGAGATAAAAAGTCTGCAGGAAGATAAGAGCACTGTGAAAAACATGGATACACCAAGTGGTTTACAAAGAAACTTTCATGTCTGCACTCCTCTCTTCTTTATGCTGCTTCTAGAGAGCCCTTTGTACCTCTGGGATCCATGAACCACCATGACAATGTGGTCCCATTTCTTAAGTGGCATTAGCCTAAAGCTAAAGAGACAAGTATTTACATTCAAAATGAAAAACAATTTAACTAAAACAGAAAACACAATAGTTTTACCTGAGCCAGGAAGCATTACAGACTAAGATTACAAACCCTGACTATCAGAGATACAAGGAACCCTCCTGATTTCAGAAAGATTCATTAGCATCACCACCAACACATCCC